TTGTATAATGGACAAAAGTGAAAATTATGATGTTTGACATATTTACAGAAGAGGGAAGAATCCTCAGAGAGGGACGTGACCCACATCCAGTTCACCAGCTGGCCTGATCATGGGGTTCCTGAGGAACCTCACCTTCTCCTCAAGCTGTGTCGACGTGTCAGTTCTTTCCAAAATCCCTCCAAAGGACCCATCATTGTCCATTGCAGGTGAAAGGAAGTAATGGAACAGTAACATCAAGGAAAATAGACCAATGAAATAACAATTATAACAGCAACTTGAGCCAACTTTTCAACAGCTTTTTCAATCATAGCAATGCCCTTAACCCTTGTCTTACAATGAAAGCATGGCTTCGATGCTAGAGTGATGAGGAAGTTAAATGGTAAAACAGGCTTTTCGCAGAATATTACAGCTTTTCTCAGATGTTTTGGACAGATTCTCAAATGAAACCTGCACACGCTTCAGCTTCTCACAACAGAATGTCATTTCTCATTGTTTTCATTCATTCACAAATGATTTAGTTTTGGTTCTTATAGGATTAGGTATGTTCACTTTGAATTAGCCACTAAATCAGTTGTATTTAGTCATGTTGTCAAAACGAACTACACAGTTTTCGTTTGTTTACTTCTAGTCTGGAAAACATTTAAACGTGTGCATGGTGTAAATCATCACATGCAAAGATGTTAATGCAGATGTTAGAAAGGTCCCTTCTGTGGTGAAGTATAAGGGAAATAGCTCCAAAATAGAGGCCTTATTGGAAGAGAAATTTGTAAACTACTTGTCACCAGCCACACAACCATGATTCTTTATTCGCTGCATTGGATGCTGCCTGTGATGACATCCCAGCAGATTCCTGTAGAGGGTGGTTGAGGCACAAGAAGAACATGTTTCTATGCATTTCAAGGGAGAATCTCTAGTGTGATATAGGTGAAAATATGTGGCCAGACCAGCAGGAGCGACAGGGCAACCCATGATGTAGAATTGACTTTCTTCTTTCCTAAAACACTGTGTACATTTTCACTGTAATATGTAACGTTTTTCAAAGTTTTCAGATACAGAGAAATGAAGTAAATCGAGAAACAGCTGAACAATTTTAAATCTTAAAATACTTCCATAGTATATTTTCATGTTGACAACATGACTAAACATTTTGACTGTTATGTCTCTAGGCAATGATACAGAGATTTCACATTTTGGTGGCATTGACCGAATGGCTAACAAGAAAACTGCATTTTGAAACATGAATGACAGGTTTTCAATGAATTTCGTCTTTGGCTAGTAATCCAAGTTATTGTGTTGCAGTGTACAATCTGTTCTGAGAAATGCACAAGCAGTTGAGCAACCAAGAAAAACTGTAAACACATTTCACCATGTTTAAAATTATTTAATAGAACTTTATGAAACTCTCCCTAAAACTTTGCACAATGCATTTTAGTTATGTTTGTTTTGACTTCTGTTTAGTGCTGGAGTGGGACGCACAGGGACCTATATTTGCATTGACGCCATGATGGCGCAACTGGAAGCAGAAGGAGAGATGGATATTTATGGATCTGTGGTCCAGCTCCGACGTCAGCGGTGCTATATGGTGCAAGTGGAGGTAATGGTAGTACAAAATTCCCAGTTGATTTAGGAAATAATACGTTTGCCGTTTCTAATAGTAGGTGGACTTTCCTTGTATCCTTGTACAGGGTACTTCTATGTAGTTAATGAAATATCAGTGCAAAGCAAATACAATACTGAGAATTATATGATATTACAACATTAAGCATATAAGGATAATGTACCCCCACCCAGATTAAGGAAACTGGGGCCTCTCGATGCAGCCATGCCCAGGTGGGTGGGGGGAGTTTGTAGGTGAGTGCCTCATAGCCATGGGGTCTGGCCGGGCACAGCCCAGAGCAATTACATGGATTTGCTTTTCTGTGGGGCCTCCACCTGCAGTAGGGGAGGGGGCATGGGGGTCGAGTGTAATGTAGATCGGGCAGGAGCCTTGGGGGACAGATCTTCGGCTACCAAATATAACCTCTATGTTGGAACAGGAGCCTCAGCTGGTGTGGGAGGTAGAGAGATACTTACTAGTTATAGTTGGGCTCACCTCAGTGCACGGTTCCGGCTCTGGAACCAACCTCCTAAAGAGGGGATGAACTCTCTTGCACTCTGGTGAGAGGCACCTGGCAAGAGTGAGTCTACTCAAAGCCCCCTGTTATGGCACCAGTACATTGGAGTTCTTCCTGGTGAACAAGAGTGTTGCCTCCCTTCATCTTCGAGTCAGGGGATGGGCTGTAACTGTTGTCTATGCTTTTGCACTGAACACTAGTTCAGAGTATCAGAGGATTCTTGGAGACCTTGGTTGGGGTGCTGGAAGGTGCTCCCTCTGGGGACTCCATTGTTCTACTTGGGGACTTTAATGCAGGAATAGGTAGCGGCAGGTGAAACTTGGAAGGATGTGATTAGGAGGAATGGCCAGCCTGATATAAACCTAAGCAGGGCTTTGTCATTGGACTTCTGTGCTAACCACAGTTTGTCCATAACAAACACCATGTGCTGAACATAAGGGTGTTCTTAAGTGCAACTGGCGCCTTAGACTACAGTTCAATGATTGATTTTGTAATTGTATCGTTGGATCTGCAACCGCATGTTTTGGACACTTGGGTGGAGAGAGA